GAATTTCATTAAAAAAAGTTTGAAAGATATAAAATAATTCAGAACGAATTTTCATAAAAAATAACCAAGTGCATTTAGAATAATCATCAATGAAAGTAACAAAGTATTGAAAACCTAAAGTAGACTTAACGCAGCTAGGTCCCCAAATGTCAGAGTGAACCACGACAAAAGGGGACGAAGCACCATGTGTCACACTACGAGGAAAGGAAGTACGACTATGTTTGCCTAATTGACATGACTCACATGTCAAACTAGACAAGTTGGACAAGGCAGAGACAAACTTCTGTAACATGACAAGACTTGGATGACCTAACTGAGCATGAAGAAGAGAGGGAGACTTCATAATTGTACCAATATGTGTAGAGAGACGGAGATGATAAAGACCATGAGATTCACATCTTGTGTCAATCACCTGTTTCGAACTCCGGTCCTGTAAACACACAAAATTGTTGGTAAAAAAATTAACATAATCAAGAAAACGAGTTAGACGACTGATGAACAACAGGTTAAAAGGAGATCTAGAGACATAAAGAACATTATCAATGCTTAAAGAATGAAAAAATTTAACAGTTTCAACACCATGAGATGATACTCTAGAGTCATCAGTCAGTGTAACAGAAGGTAAAGGATTATGAAAGGATAAAGAGGAGAACAAATATTTGTTACCAATAATATGCTCAGTGGCTCCTGAATAAAAAATCCAAGGACTAGGAGAAAAGGATTGGGTCAGACCAACAAAATATGTACCTATGTGTGCGACAGATGTAGTGGAACTAGAAGACTATTGATCCTTATACCATTTGAGAAATTTGTTGAACATAGTAGATATGTCAGATGCAATAGAAGAAGGAGGATCCGTAGTAGACAAAGGTGGGGAAAGATCGGTCTGAATAATTGCAGCAGATCAAGGAGGACGACCATGTAATGCATAACACTTATTAATCTTGTGACCTAGCTTGCCACAATATTCACACTTAAGACACAATTTTCCCTGTTTGTGAGGGCGAGTCCGATCATCACGGTGAGATGCTAACGCAGAAGAATCATTAACAGAATTGGAAGTAGTAGAAGGAGTGGAAGAAGTCATGAAGGGCAGGAGAACAAACCTCAAAAAAATATTAAAGTAATCCAATCAACCCAAGAAGCACAGATCCAAAACGAGAAGACCAAAATAAGTTTGTCGAGACTAAACGACGCGGAAGACAATGGACGAATAACTCCGATAGTGGTGATCTTAATGGTACGATGGTAACTTGACCAAGACGAGCACAACTGTATGTTGTCGATCAAAAATGAAACCCTGGCGGTAACGGCAATGGCGGCATGAACCAGTACACCAGGTAAGTTCCTAGGAAAGAGAGGTGGGTCACTAATGGACACGCTTAAATACCAAGTCTTTCCTTATCAGAACCTTCCTAGACATGCACTTTTACACTACCAAATAATATCTAGTAACAAAAATAACTCTTTTTTTTAATGTGGAAGATCAGTTTAACCGGCAGTGGTGGCGATGGCAGCTCCAGCAGTGGACAAAGGCGAAAAAAATTTAAAATAACATTAAACTCTAGATATCATATTAAATATAGAGGAAATAAGGTTTGAGATTAATCTCCCTTGTGTATAAACCACATATAGGGTAATCTATTTATAATAGAAAGAAGTACAACTAAAAGAGTAACCGAAAGTAAACAGAATAAACAGAAGATATTATTTGATATTGCGGTTAACAATATCTAACAATATCTTAACAATATCAAATAATATCTAACATTAAGTTGGATGTCATGGGAAAAGGTACAATTCAACTCAAAATAGATGGACTGTTTGTGGTCATCATAGAGGTATTTTATATTCATGACCTTAAATCTAATTTACTTAGTATTGGTCAACTACAAGAAAGAGAATTGTCCATTCTAATTCAGAACGAATGTTGCAGTATTTATCACAATACGAAAGGCTTGATTATAAGAACCATGATAACTGTCAATCGCATGTTTATACTTTTAGTATCTATTCCTCCTGACAGAACACCAGCGCCATGTTATAATATTGCTTCTGATAATACTACAAGCTTATGGCATCAAAGGCTTGGGCACCTTAATATTAAAGGATTGTGTACTTTGGCTTATAGACGAATGGTTCATGGCTTGCCTATATTGAAGAACCAGTCGCAAATATGCAACATATGCATGAGTGGAAAGCAACAATGTAATCCCTTCCCAAAGAAAAGTGCATGGAGAGCATTCAAACCTCTCCTATTCATTCAGATATATGCAGTGCAATTTCCCCAGAGTCTCAAAGCCATAAGAGGTACATTCTAACATTTATAGATGATTATAGTAGAAAAATATGGTCTTATTTTTTACATGCCAAGTAAGAAGCCTTTGACACATTCAAAAGGTTCAAGTCATGTGTGGAGAACGAAACAAGATACCAAATAACGTGCCTACAAACTGACAGAGGAGGAGAATATTGTTCCTCAGAATTTAATGACTACCGTAGTTCTCATTGTCACCTACTCCCCACAACAAAATGGAGTGGCTGAAAGGAGAAATCGCACACTGATGAATATGATAAGGTGCATGTTTATAGCTCGTGAGGTTCCACAGAAGTACTGGCCAGAAGCAGCAAATCAAGCAACCTATGTTCTCAATAGATGTCCTACCTCAGCTTTCAGAGATATGACACCAGAAGAAGCATGGAAAGAAAGAAAGCCAACAGTGAGTCACCTTAAGGTGTTTGGTTGCATAGGATATGTGCATATTCCTGATGCAACCCGCAAAAAGCTAGATGAGAAGAGTATCAAATGCGTGCACATGGGAGTTAGTGAAGAATCCAACGCCTATCGTATGTATGATCCAGAAACAAAGAAAATAATAATCAATCATGATATTGTGTTCGATGAAATGGAAACATGGGATTGGAGCACATCGGGAAAAAGCCACAGCACTAATGATCTTATATGTAATGAACCAGAAGCAACTAATATTGACTCAGGAACCACCAGCAAAGCAGATCCTAAAATTGCCGAGAGTTCAGAAATTATAAGAAGCAACAGAGTCCCAAAACACAATAGAAAGCCACCAATATGGATGCAGGACTATGAATCTGGAGCTGGAATATCCAAAGAGGAAGAAGTTGATGATGTTGAGCAACTCACCCAATAAATGCAACAACTCGCTATGCTTGTGACCAATGATCCTCTCACCTTTGAGGAAGCAGCTAAAAGTCGAGTATGGAGAGTATGGAGAGATGTTATGAAAAATGAAATTGAAGCAATCGAAAGAAATGGCACCTGGGAGCTCACTGATCTAACACCAGGATCAAAGAAGATTAGTATCAAATGGATTTTCAAGAATAAGATGAATGAAAGAGGTGAAATTGACAAGTGTAAGGCACGACTCGTAGCTAAAGGATATGCTCAACAAGCTGACATTGATTACACTGAGGTGTTTGCAACTATTGCTCACTGGGACACTATTCGACTGGTTTTGTCTATTACAGCAGGTAGGGGATGGCAAGTTCATCAACTTGATGTCAAAAACACATTCTTACATGGAGAAATAGCAGAAGAAGTATATGTAGAGCAACCAAAGGGTTATGAGGTACCTAATGCTGAAAACAAAGTCTACAAACTCAAAAAGGCTCTCTATGGACTCAGACAAGCCCCTCGGGCTTGGTTTATATGTGGATGATCTTATTTTCACAGGTAAGAGTAAGAACATGTTTGAAGAATTTAAACATTCAATGAAGAGGAAATTTGAGATGACTGATTTGGGATGCATGCGCTATTTTCTTGGAGTGAAGGTCACACAAACTCCTAGTGGCATTTTCATTTGTCAAAGGAAATATGTCAATGAAGTATTGGAAAGATTTGGATTACAAAATTGTTCCAGGATGCAAACTCACAAAGGACATAGGACGACAGAAGGTTGATGCTACCACATATAAACAAATAGTAGGCAATCTCATGTACTTAAATGCCACAAGGAGAAGTTGAATTGGTCCATTGTGGTACTAAGGAGCAGTTGGCAGATATTATGACAAAGGCTTTTAAAATTAGAAATTTTTATAACACTAAGTGAAAAACTTGGCATGTGCAGAATTGAAGATATAAACTGATTTCAGTTTAAGGGGAGGATTGTTAGGATATTTATTACCCACGTGCAATATAATGCAGTTATTAGTTTACTTTTGAATTAAATAAAATACCTATGTTTTAGGAATAGAGGTCCTGATATTTAGCCATGAGTTAAGCATGGATTAATTTTTCTATTTTCTCCTTGTAGTGACTATTTAATGTCATTTATATTAATAAAATAAATAAAGCTTAAAGCTATGTTTCTACATCCAGCAGTATTAGAACCTAATAGATTCTAAATCAAAATGATCTTATATTGAAACTAAAAATATAATTAACTCATCTATTTTTTTCTTAGTAATAAGGGAATCTTTAATCATACCATATATTTTTGAAATTGGAATCTTTTAACTTTTTCCCACCCTAACCTGGTTGACAATTCTTGAATACATGTTTGGATTGTCTTTTCAGAAAATCTTCCACAACCCCTTCTGTAAAAGGTATTTAAAAGTTGTTCCCCGTAAAAATAGAAAAAGTTTACTCTTCTCTCAGATAAACACTACTTCAATAAACTTTGTTGGTGCAACACGTTCTAGAAAAAAAAAAATTGAACGAAAGTATCTATCAACAATGTAAGGGAACAATGTGCAGAGAGACCATAGATGAACAAAGAGGAAATAATGGCTTGAGAGAACTGAGAGGAACAAGAACTGGTAATCAAGAGAGCAAAGAAAGAGAATGCATGGTTGGCTGGAGAGGTTACATGAGAATTTAACTTCAGAATAAGGGGAGAGGAAACATTAAGTACTATAAAGAGAGGAGTAAAGCAAATAGTATCAGTTTTTTTTTTTTTTGGTCTTGAGAAACCGCATATAAAGATATTGATGGGGTTTGCTGGTGATGAGCCCATTGGCTAGAGATGGGCTGGATAGGTTGGACAATCACTGGAGCTGGTGGATGTGGTTGCATAGTTCATTCAATTTTTGCAGAGCAGAGGTCATTTGTCCATAGAGCAAGTTATGAAGGTTGTTTGAGTTCCTTTATCTTTTGAAAGAATAGGGCCTAAATTGCTTTATCTGTCGTGGACCACCATGGCCACATGGCAGAGGTGGCTTCCATTATCTGCAATGAAAAACTTACAATGTCATTGGAGTCTAATGACATTTTGTTCAACTCCCGCAATCTCATCAGGGGTGGTAATGCTATGGCACCCGTGGCTACTAGTTGAGGACTGTGACCTGGTGATGGTGGTTATAGGGTATAGTCATGGTATCAGTCACTGCAGTCATGATAGTATGGTCGTGCACATCTGTTTCAGTTCAAACCCAACACCTGTGAAAGCCATGTGTTGTGCTGCATTTCATATGGCACAGCAGTCGTGAAACACCTAGCTAGCTAAATATCTGTAATAGTTCCTGATTACTAATAGATTATATATTTTGCAGTATGTTGTGTGTTAGATTTCAATAAATTAAATGCATGTTCTGGATCTCATGAATCTTAAGTGGTTTTATTGAATTTTATAAAATATTGTGTTACATATAATATAAGTTTTGGTTTGATTTTTATTTCTTATTATTTAGATAAAATTGTACTAATTTATTATTTCAATTTCAGGTCGCTAGGGTGTTGCATCTTTTCTACAGATTGGTTGTCCAGCCAAGTGCATCTAGGGCTCACATGTTTGCGGAAGAATTCCTAGCATGTGGTGGCGCAGAAACTTTTCTTGTTCTGCTCCAGAGGGAAGCTAAAGCTGGAGATAGTAATGTCCTGGATTCATGGTCAACAAATCCTGAACTTCAAAAAACTGAGATTGATGGTGGTAATGAAATGACAAAAGGAAGTGAAGAGGATGAAGGATCACGGGAGAAATAATATCTTTCTTTTATTTTCTAACCATGGTTCCTAGCATCAACACATGGATTCTTTCAGAGTCCCACTGGTAGAGACATGCATAGGGAACTAAAAGGAGATTATTTTATTTCCTCTGTATTTCTGTTTTCACGTAGTCCTTCTTATCTGTACATTTTCTTCTCTTATCAAATAGAACAATTAATTGGGGGGAGGGTAATTGTATATTCGGTTTCATTTTAGCATCTCTAATTTTCTTTCAGATATTATTACAGAAATTCTGTTCTTTCATGACTAAGTACTGTCAGTTAAGTTAAGGTTCTTGTATATGCCACAGCCATATAGGAAATTTCTATGGAACTTTTTCAAAGGAAGTAAGACTTCCACTTATGGATATATTCCTACAAAAGAATGAAACTTAAAACCTTATTGATTGCCACCAAGAAAGAAGCCAATACGATGTTGATAAATTTACAACGTTAAACATTGCAAATGATACAATAGAACCATTTAAAGAAAAACTTGATTCCCAATAGATTCAAGTACTGAACCGAAAAGATCAAAAAAGCCAAGATTCAAGTATTCAATCCATACTTACACCATAATGATCAAAATTGCTACTCCTGATGACCTATTCATTTTTCTGCATCTTTAACTCATAAAAAAGTCTCACAGTCGAGTATATTGTAGAGGGTTCAGCCATTGCTCCATGCTCAATGTCCCCATTAGCTTTCCTATATGTGACAGGTGGGATGAGAGAGATGCCAAGCTCATCAATGCCAATGCAATGCCGCTCTGTGAAAGGGTTTTTCCACATAATAGAGTTCATGGATGGTGCAACAAAAAGTGGCTTGCTGTAGTCCCATGCTCTCACAATACATGTCAGAAGATTGTCACATAACCCTGCCACGATCTACAAGAACATATTTCTATGAGTGAGAAATAAAATAAAGAGCTAATTGACAACAGCAAATGATATACTAAACATAGAAACATGCACACAGATTAATACAGGATGTAAACATCAAATTTGGAGCATTTTTTATGGTTAAGTGGGCAAAAAATTTATGAATCTCGTGTCCTACAACTAAGGAATGAATTCCCTACATTCATGCATTTTTTAAGTCATGAGTCTGTCTTATTTTAAGAGTTCCAATACTGACTAACTGCATGAATATGTGACATGTCTAATTCCTATAATTACTACAGCGAGTCTTCAAAACAAAAACAACAAAGTCTTTTCAATTACATGTATCGCACAAAGTCATTCCAATCATAGTGAGTTTTTTATTTAACTGCATTTTTCTCTCTCACAATGAATACATTCAATTAATCAACAATGGGGAAGATCTAAATCCAAGTATGACAATCGAACATTCACATGATGGCCAGGAACTTACATTCTAATAAAAGATTATTCATCATAGCTGCATAAACACACTAGTCTTAGAGTTGCTAGCTTGTTCAATGCATAGTAGTGGTTTAATCACATAACAATGCAGATAGAAAGAAATAAAACCAGCCAAGTTTGTCAGTTTGATTACCTTGCCAAGAGTATTTGCTGACAATGGAGCAATGACCAGAATTTCAGCCCATCTAATAAGCTCAATATGAAGCACACGATCGCCTATCCTTTTCCAAGTGTTCCAGTCATTATCATCCCAAAATACATTAATATCCTTGGGAAATGTTTGTTCAGAAATAAAACGCAAGGCTGATTTTGTGACTAGTGCCCTTACTTCCGCCCATTCTGCAAAGCATCGACAAACATGCCCAAATTTTACAGCAGCAACACTTCCACAAGCAGCAAGTAGAATCCGAGGCTTCCTCCTAATAGCACACCCTGTCGCAGATTTTGCCTTTTTACTTGCAGGATCAGAGCAATCCATGACCAACAGATTTCAACGATATCTACCTCCATATTAATAAGTCTTAGAAAACAACCATCACAAGCTCATATATTCACACGTGCAGGGATAAAAAACTGTAATCTTCATATTTAACATTAAATAACTATTGGAGATGCTCATCCCTTGGAATCAGAATTTAGGCCTAGGATGCATTTTTATCAAACTATTGGGCCCCACATGAATACTACACCACCTCTAGATGATGAAGGGGAAAAAAATTCATTTTGATAATCACAGGCTCACAAATATGTAAAAAGCATACAGCATTTATCAGTGTCCACACAAATAACAAATTTTTTAAGTATACAAGATTTCCATCAGATAGAGAAAGGGAGATTCGATCAGAGGTTTCATACCTTTTTAGAGAAGCTTGAGGATCAAGAATTTCGCTTACACTTTTTCCTAGAAAGTAAAAGAAAAAACAACTGTCAGAAATTGGATTGAATAATATACAAGGGAAAGACAAGGTTGATTTGTTTCTAGTTTCTACTACCCCATACAAGAAAAAAAGTTAACGAAAAACAAAATCATATACCACACTCAATCATCAAGAGAGAGTTATGTTGGTAAAAAAACAATGTGGCCATGAAAAAAGTGGATAACTTAAAAAAAAAAAAATAACAAAGTTGAGTTGAGTCCAGTCCAAGACAAACCAACAAAGTTTCGCTTGCACGTAGAAGTGAAGGGAATGATTCCCATTAAACACCTTTTACCGCATTTTCAGAAACAATTCATGATCACAAGAAGAATAAACAGGACTGAATCTTGAAGCAGACGTCTTCATTCTCTTATACACAAGACACACAACAAGAAATCCATGACCCATGATAGAAAAACGCATAAAGAGTGCACATTCCGATCGAAGACTGGATTCTGAAGCTTTGAATGTTGATTGACTCAAAACCAAAGGGGAGATAAAGAAAAGCAAAAAAGAGTAAGAAAACAAAAGAATGAGAGTGAATAAGAAGTTTCTCACCTTGTGAACTATGTATCCGTGACTATTCACGAATCTCTCTTTCTCTTGTTCGCAGAGTTTCAAATAAGAAGAAGAACAGAGACGTGCCTTGTTCAAGATTTTTGAATTTTCTCCGAGGAACCTACAAATCGCGCTTGTGTCGTGACAATCAAACAATTATATTAGTCGGACCTTGCAAGGCATAAACTCAAATTAAGCCCATATTTAAATATGGCACACTTATTCACTTTTTTTTTTTTATTGTAGCCTTTATTATTTATTAATTTTTAATTTGTTACAAAACAAAGTATAACACTAAATCTTTATAAATATTTTCTTGGACTAAATAGTAATTTCCAAATTTACAAATTTTGATAATTGAAATTTTATTAAAACATTCTTAAAATTTTAGCTGAAACAAAATAAATAAATTTATATTTACTAATTTTAATTACTCAAAAGGTTTACTAAAGGGAATTATTTTAACGAATTTAGTTTATCCGTGCTTTTGCCATACTTATTTATTGATATTAAATATTTATTTTCAAGTAAGTAAATAGTATTTTTCTTAAAGATCTATAAACTATTTTAAAAGTAATAAAATGTTAACATGGACTTAATTCAAAATCTAATTAAGATAGTTTGATGTAAGAATCAAATTTGACGATGAGATTTTTAATGGAAAATTAAGTATAAGTTTCTTTGGGAAAGTAGAGATTTGTTTAATTTAATTAGTATTTTAGTTTTTACAAAATCAGTAGGTTTTGGAGATTAATGTTGAAAAAATTATTTTAAAAATAAGTTAAAGAAAATATTTGATAATTCAATTTTTAAAAATTAGTTTAGACGAAAGAGAATATACGATGATAAAAAGATAGAAAATAATATAATTTTATAAAACTGTAAGATTAAAAATGGGTCAATTACTTTTAAATAAATAAATTTTAATTATTATAATTTTATAAAATCTAAATAATTGATTTGATTTTTTTTTAGCTTAAATCAATTTTGATAAAAAAATAAAAATAATTTTTTTATTATAATTTTATAAAAGATATAATATATTTTAGTAATTTTTTTATCTTATATTGATGGTATCAATTTTAAATAACTGTTATTATATTGTAATTTAACTTGTTTTCATCATTATCTATCTCATATTTTTTAATATATTTTTTATTTCTAATTTTCATTAAAAATTACAATAATTATGATAATAACATTTATTTATTTATTATTATTATTATTGAATTTATTACTACTGAATATATTATATCCCAATTAAACATTTAAATCTTAGTAATCGATCCAATTTTTAAAACAATGCATGGTTATATTCTATGTTGCTTAATCCAAAACTTAGAAACCAGTATAAATTTTCAAACCCACTATTTTGGAATAAATTTTTAGATTACTAATTCTATAAAATTCGCAAAAATAGTTTTGTTTTTTTATAAAGTATGGAAATAAGATGAAAATTGTGGAGTGTAAGATTTTTTTCCTTCCTACTTTAGTATTTATTTACTTCCATAAATTAACTCTTAACGAAGATAAAATTGTGTTGAAAAGTAAAAAAAGAAAACATATAATTTTAAAAATCATTACAAAAAATAACTCAATGATTATTCATGAACACTATAACATAATCAATTGTAAATGTTTTATTTTCTTATTATATTTTGTATTTTTACAACAATAATAATAACAAAAAATAAACTTGTTTATAATAAATAAAATTACTAAAATAAATAAACTACTATTAATAATAAAATTATCTTGTTTTTCATACATTTTAGGGAAGCTTGAGTCAGAAATTGGATTGAATCATATACAAGAGAAAGACAAGGTTGATTTGTTTCTAGTTTCTACTGTCCCATACAAGACAAAAATAAATTTAATGAGGTAATTCGTAAATAAACAAAATTATTTTTTTTCTGAAATTTATTTTAACCTATAAGATCTCTATTAATCTTTATTTCTACTATTTCTATTAGGTTAAATAAGATAAAGTAGATCTTAACTAATTTAAATTTTTTGATAAATAATTGAAAGCTCATTCCAACAATTATCTAATACACAAGAGACACAGCAATAAATCGACCTTTGAATGTTGATTGACTCGAAACCAAAGGGAAAGAAAGAAAAAAAAAAAAATAAGAAAACAAAAGAATGAGAGTGAATAAGAAATTTATCACCTTGTGAACTATGTACCGTGACTATTCACGAATCTCTCTTTCTCTTGTTCGCAGAGTTTCAAATCAGAAGAATAATTTGAATTTTCTCATGGAAACTATGAATCACGCTTGTATCGGGACCGTTAAAATTTCAACTAACATAGAACTTTTTACACGCTTCCTGGAACTAGACCTACCGGATCAGACAAAGGATACTTTTGACCCAACTAAAAGACAACTTGACAATAACGAAAAGATATTAGACTTTGGCTCTAATACCATATTAAGATTCCAACATAAAACCAATTGACAATATGTAAAATAACATAACATATATTTAAATCATAACAAATGAGATAAGATAGGCGGCCATCATGGACTAGTTTTCTAAAAAAGAGTCTTTTTTGTTTAGCTTGCCACACATATATACTCGCTCAAGAGAATTCACTAAGTAAACATCTATCTATATATCTATAGATATATAGATAGAGATAGATCTATTTGATTAGCATATATTAGTAGATATTGGATAGACTTTCAATAATCACAATTAAACAATTATATTAATTGAACTTTGGCAAGACATAAACTCAAATTAAGCACATATTTAACTGTTTTTTTTTATTGTATACTAAATCTTTATAAATATTTTCTTGGACTAAATAGTAATTTCCAAATTTACTAATTTTGATTATTGAAATTATTATTAAAACATTCTTAAAATTTAGCTGAAACAATAGTTTTAATTACTCAAAAGGTTTACTAAAGGAGATTATTTTAACGAATTTAGTTGATCCGTACTTATGCCATACTTATTTATTGATATCAAATATTTATTTTTAAATAAGTAAATAGTATTTTTCTCAAAAATCTATAAATTATTTTAAAAGTAATAAAATGTTAAAATGGACTTAATTCACAATCTAATTAAGATAGTTTGATGTAAGTATCAAATTTGACGATGAGATTTTTAGTGAAAAGTTAAGTATAAGTTTCTTTGGGAAACTAGAGATTTGTTTAATTTAATTAGTATTTTAGTTTTTACAGATCAATAGATTTAGAGAATAATGTTGAAATAAATATTTAAAAATAAGTTAAAATTCTATTTTTAAAAATTAGTTTAGACAGAAGAGAATATATGATGATAAAAAGATAGAAAATAATATAATTTTATGATGATAAAAATGAAAATTTTAATACAATTATTAGTGAAAATATACATATTTATTGAAAATAAAACATAAATAAGCTTTCATCAATTTTAATTCTTTAAATATTAAAAAAAAATTAAAACTATTTTAACAATTTTTTTAAATTAAGAAAAATGTTATTTTTAAAAACATTAAAGAAACACGTTTTATGTTTTTTTTTTACGGGAACTAAATGGATTAACATGTTTAATGATTGATACATGTGATGATTAATGTATATTTTAATATTAATATTCCTGATTCATTATATTTTCTTTAAAATTTCTAACATTTATTTGTTATTATAATGGATGAATTGTATTTATATAACTTTTTACATGAAATAATAATAAAAATTACATCTTATACCTTTACAATTTTCTATGAGATAAACTATTTTTATCATTTTTATTTTCTACATTTAAGAAAGTGGAGTGGGTCATGGTCCGTTACGCTTGGACTAAGGCCTTCAAAGAGTTTAGTTGGTTTAGCAAAGTTTAAAGTTCAACTCTTCAATTTTTATTTTATTTTCTTGTACACCATAATTTTCTCTTATACTCTCATAACTTTAGAAAATACCCTATTACTTTTCCTTTTTAATATTCCAGACTAATGAATTAAAACAAAATAAATTATTAATTTCAATTTTGTTCTTATAAG